CTTTCAAATTACATGTGCTTTGATTGTGATATACTGTACGTAATGTATGGGTTCAGTCAATGGGGGGGCAGAAAGAGGGCACAGGCAATGAGATATAAACTCAATGGGATATAGACTCTGCAGTTAATGAAAATATAAGTTATTTTTGAAGCAAATAAAATTTTATTCAAAAAATATTTAAATGAGTAAAACATTTTTTCTTATATGTGATAATAAAGGCAACGATTGAATCAAGAATTGGAAACATTTTAACAAATTCTACACAATATTCTGTAATACATTCTGTAATATATTCTGTAATATATTCTGTAATATATTTGGGGCTCAATTCACTTGACGGCAATGGTTTAATGTCATGTCATGTATTGGTTCAACTGTTTCTAACAACAATTATCTTAATTATAATTCTTACTATAATTTTGATAACAGAATATTGACATCAAAATACAGTTACACTTCACGGACAACACTGTTGGGTATAATGAGGTGCCGGTTATCACATGAATTAATGCTATAATGGCTTAAAACGAGACGATAAACATATTAAGTGCAAGAATCGTATTTCACACCCAATTTAGGCTATATTTAAATATTCTTTCATTTAATTAACATTAAATATTTCAATTATAATTAAGAAGTGTTGATAAACTTTTAATTATTACAAGCAATGAGTTGTGAAACAATTTTCATAGATTTCGCTTCAATAGTAACGTTAATGAGAGGAGAAATCAGAGGCAATAAAGACATTGAGAGACAGAGAGTGCAGTCAATACGACTCGTATTGATAAGAATCTATGTTTGAAATGCAAAGCGAATATTGAATACAGTATTAAAGATCGCTATTAAGTCTCGTAATAAAGTGTCGATTCATTTGCTTTTTGTGTTCAAAATCATATGATTTGACGAATGAATCGATGATTTGATTCAACGCTTTGTTTATATGTTTTGTTAGGAAAACAAACAATCGATTCATTGATTGTGTGATTGACTCGAGAATTGTGTCCCAAATACAAGACATTTAGGAAAATGTGGTTTTTCTTACTGTTGGCAACGATTGTGATGTCAATTGTGTTGTGTTTGACAATAGTTTATGCGTTGAAATACTTCGGCATCTTTGAGAAGATAGAGGTGAGGGTGGGTTCGCCTCCCTATCCCTTCGGCGGTCAACTCATCGCCTATAAGAAGTTGCGGTCGTGTTATGCGGACTCGTCGGCCCTCTTCACGGAAGTGGTGTCATTGGTTCCCAAACTCAACACATTTGGCATCTATTTGGACGAACCAAACGAAGACAACCGAAACAATTGCCGATTTCTGGTCGGAGTTATACTGAACGCCGATTCGCCGGCTTTTGAGGCCAACAAACAACTACTGGAGACCAAAGGCTTCGCTTGCGGTCAACTGCCAGACGTGGATCACGTCGTCCACACTATCTTCCCCTTCCGATCAGTCATTTCTGTGGCCATCGCTATAAGGCGTGTCTATCCTATCATTCGCTCATATATTGTGGTAAGTTATCCACAAAACAGGTCTTAACTGTTTGGCAAATCTCTTAATCTCTTGTATTATTGATTAAATCCAAAGGAACACAATCTTTGCGCTCATCCGGCGGTCGAAGTGTACGACGAGAACAATATATACTTCATGTTTCCGTTGGCCAAACAGAACCAGTTCTACCAATTGTATGGATCCGATGAAATCGATGACAGCGACGACGACAACACCGAAGAGGACGACGAACCCGAAGAGGAGGAGAAAGTGATCGATAACGTGACCGACAACGACGACAATGAGGCCCTCAATGATGGCATTCAAATGCGATTAAGAAGTTCTAAGTCTAAAAAGAGCTCAAATAGTAGTACGAGTTCTTCGTTTGAAGAGCTGTTAGCGGATGAGTTCCACAAAGACTCGTAGAGACATATCAGTGATCAGTTGGACTCAGTTTTACGGTTTAAATCAATTCATTCCCCAATTTAGTCGATGACAGACATCACCGCAGCTCTACTTTAGTGTGCAATCAATTTAGTTATTAATTGACTTAAAAATATATTATATTATTTGATATATAAAAAATTGAACCCATTTTCTAGAATTTAATACTATTTTCTAAATATTTCGGATCTATTCTTACGAAACTCGCGAACATTTCTTTAGAGATAATTTCGATTTGAGAATCAGTTCTTCGATTTCAGACATTTATTCCAAAGAAATTTATGGAAACCAAGAAATTAGTGGCGAAATTGGTTTTTGTTATAATTGTGTGATATTTTTAATGTCATAAGAAATTTGCTTAATATTGACTGAAATTACGAAAGAATTAACGAATCGTTAAATTGTTTTTGTCATTCAATGTTTTGTTTTGGATTCAATTTAAATCAATTGTTTTAAAGCATTTAAAATCAACACTTATTTAATTAAATAAATTATTTTTATGATTTAATCGATAGAAAAATGTAAACAAATAAAATAAATTATGAAAATCAACACAAATTATAACAAATGTATAAATCAATAAATAAAATAAATTTTAAACAATAAATTCATTGATTGTCTTCAATGGACTCGGGGTTAGCCTCTTGTTCTTGTGCTGCGGACTCATCGCTGGTTTGTTGCGGTATATCTGAGTTGCGTTTAAGTGATTGAGTGGACGACAGGGAAGCGGTTCTGTTCCTCTTGACGGTCGTCGGAGTAGACGTGAACTGATTGATGACATTTCGCAAGTCTTTGAGGTCAGCGCTGGCACTGGAGGTGACGCTCGCGATGGACGCCGGGATCAAAGACGTCGGCAAATCAAAGGAACCCGAAAAACGCTGAAACGCTCTCCGATTGGCCGAATTGATGGGATGATTGGCCGAAGCGGTGGCTCCCGAAGTGTTCAAAACCCGTTGTCTAATACTCTCTTCGTAATCAATTTGTTGCTTCAAAAAGACTGAGTTCTTAAGCAATTCCTGAACGTTCTGGAAGTGGCTTTCGGTTCCGGCCATCGATTTGAGTGCACCGATAGAGTACTCCAAGTCATAGAAGTTTCCTTTCAATCGTTTCTCCGTTTTCTTCATTTCACTCTTTCGTACGAATAATCAAATGAAACCACAAATAAATGCAAACATTTTTACATCAATTAAACGACAAATAACTCATTAATAATTACCATTTTGTCCATCAGTTGCGGTACAGACTTATGGCAGTGCTCTTGGAGTCGGAAACAGGCCAGCGATGGCTCATTGCCTAAGATATACATGTTTTCCGATATCTTTTCGCACGCTTTTTGGACATTAAAAAAATGACAATTAATTGAAATTAAAAAACAATAAAAGCATTAATTGTTTAATACTTTTCTTGGTTTTCTTGATCAGATCGGAGTCCGTATGTGTCATATCAGACATGGCGTCCACCGACTGCTGTCCTCCTCGTCGTCGTCACCGCCGAAGAGCTGTTACTTTTCAAGAGTCAAACCAAACGTCAATTTCTCATTCAATTCAGTGTTTATTTACATTCAGTTTTCGCATCACTTTATGCTTCACTTCAATACAAAACTAATGTCTAGTTTTTCAAAAGTCATGATTTGTGCCCTTTTTATATACAGTAGACAATAGGCGACAACTGTTGTAAAAAGTACTGAATTGTGCGTTAGATGTGAGCCAATTGTGGCATTGATTGTGTGCACACATTATTACCTCTCATTTCCTTTTCCCTCAAACATGTCCTCAAAGGTAACGTGTCTTCAGTTGTCTCTCATTTAAATTACTATTAAATTAGTTTACATTTAATTTAATCACTTAACCATCGATTGTCTCGTCAGATGACGGCTGTAAGTGTCTATCGATAAGACAATTGATGTCCATTTGGTGTAATATATGTTAGTTTTAGGGCCGACTAAATGACCGCAACTTTTTTTTATCAACACTTGTCGTGATATCGGCGTTGATATCGACGGGAAGTGTTGATGGAAACAGTGGTGCAGGTCTTTGGCACAGTTTATGGCAGATTGTGTGCTTCAATCACATCGATCTGTTTTTTTGAGTGCCTATACTATGAACAAAACTGCAACATGTCTTCAATCAGAGACAATGATTAAGACATTACTTAACTTTTGTGATAAATTATTTCTCAAATAATTAATTGAATTATTTTTTTGTTTTAATTGCTTTGAATGTTAGGCCAAAATGGACTCAAAAGCGAAGACAGTGGTGAAGACGAAGAGGAAGGATAAGGCGAACAATCCTATGAGAGAAGTACGGATCCGGAAACTGTGTCTCAACATCTGTGTGGGAGAGTCCGGTGATAGACTGACCCGAGCGTCCAAAGTGTTGGAACAGTTGACAGGACAACAGCCCGTCTTCTCGAAGGCCAGATATACTGTCCGATCGTTCGGTATCCGTAGGAATGAGAAGATAGCCGTTCACTGCACTGTCAGAGGACCCAAAGCTGAGGAGATCCTCGAGAAGGGTCTTAAGGTATGCGCGGATACATTGATTGGTCTTTTGTTATATGAATATAAACTTCTAATTGAATGTATTTATAGGTAAAAGAGTATGAATTGCGAAAAGAGAACTTCTCGGACACCGGAAACTTCGGGTTCGGTATTCAAGAGCACATCGACTTAGGCATCAAATACGACCCGAGTATCGGTATCTATGGTCTGGACTTTTTCGTGGTGTTGGGCAGACCGGGATTCAATGTGGCCCATCGGCGCCATAAAGTAGGAACTGTTGGAAAGCCGCACCGTCTGACCCGAGACGACGCCGTGAAGTGGTTTCAGCAGAAATATGACGGAATCATTCTTCCGCCGAAAGCGAAACAATAATTTGCCGAAAATACTGTTTGTATTTAAAGACTTTTGATCAATAAAAATGACCCAAAAATTAGATGATTTGTCGAAATTATTTATTTAATAATTTATCGTTTAATTTGTGAATAAATTAGTTTTTATTATTATTATCAATAGTCATAACTATATGACAAACTAGTGGTTTGAATGAATCAATTGGCAACAGATGTAGTGTTGAATGAGATAAATAATGATTTGTTTTTATAGTCTTTGAATGTTTTATTGAAGAGTTTGTTGACTAATTGTTGAATTGGTTTTATTTGTATGGATTGACGATAGAGTAGCAGAAAATAGTTGTAATGAATGCTTGCAATTACAGTAAATTGTGCGATAAGTGGTGTCTAAAGTTTATCTCCGATAACGTAAGCTATGGTTACCTTTGGTTTTGAGATTTATTTTTATTAATTTTCAGCATTTTATGGTTGAAGTGGTTATGAATATAGTTATTGTTGTTTTTGTCAAAGAAATAAAAGGCACTGAATATAAGTGGTATGACTCGCGTTAACAGCAGTTATCATTAAAGTCTTGTTTTCAATTCAACAATCGTTTAGCATTTTTGAGGCAATTATATATCAGAATTGCCTTCAAATTTCTCTAACATTTCCTCAAGAAAAATATTTTTTAATCAAAACTTTTGTTTATTTCACTTTTCAAACATCTATGATATGTATATTTCAGTCATTGAAAGCAATAAGTAATTAGTTTTTTGGTTTTTCATAATACGTGTGGAGAGAGAAAAAGTATCGCAAATATTGTAACTTTTCTATCAATTGGTGAACTAATTCACGACAACTCGAGTTCTGAGTCGCGACTAAAGAAAAACTCGTATTCATTGCTTCACTTTTAACCTAATATTTGCTGCCAAACCGTCGACTCGTTTTCGCTCTCTTTCACTGAAAGCCATGAATTCGAGCGATAAGTCTATTAAACAGTCAAATTCATCGCTAAATGAAGACTTTTGGGCAGAACTGGACGCCATCAGCGAGACTGACATCGATGTCTCCCATCCCTACCGCGAATTGGATGACGAGAACTCTTCAAACAAGTCATTAGAAGGTATGTCTTCTTTAAACATTGCGATTCTTGCACAACAAGTTATCGTTAATCTAGTGATAGGGTATGACATTAACTCTAACAGTAGTCGTAGTGGTGTTCATATGAAGTGATTTTTCTTTTGTGAATAACATATAAAGTAATAGTGAATGTAAAAAATGATAAAACAATTTACTGACACAAAAAAACTTCAATTTCAATCGCGATTCTCATTTCGTTGTTGTTTTCACTCAAAGCCACAGAATTAGTAGATTTGTGTCAAATGTTTTGTGTCTAAAATACTAACGCATAAACAGGAACTCTAATACAGAGTATATGGGAATACTTTCTGTCATTTGATTTTTAAATGAGAATAATTTATTTAATATATTATTTATTCACACTTTTCTTGGGTTTGGTTTTCTTTTTATTTAAAGGGAATTGTATTTTACGATACGATTGGGAAAAGTCTTTAATGTAATTAAATATAAATTACAGAAACAATATGATTCATAACAACCTTAAATACATAAACATTTCAAAACCCGATAGCAATCTATTTATAGGATAAGCGCTTAAATCCCATAAATTAGTTTCGCTGTAAATACGGATATATTGTCGTCGACAAGAAAATTGATTTGCATTTATGACATACGCTAACCATAAAACTGTTGTAACTGTTAATACAGTACAATATAATAACTATTTTTAATTTAATTTTCTTTTAATATATAACAGTAATAATAAAATTATACACAATTTATATGAATGAAAAACACATTTTTATTAATTATATTAAATTAATAAATTTTGATATACAGAGATAATAGTATATTAAAGTCAATATTATTTGCTTATGAATTACAGCGATTTCAAGGCTTTTCACAATAGATACTAAACAATGCATTTCTCGCTCTAAAGATTTTAATTTTTTACAGACCTTTTCTTAGAAATAAATTTTCATATGATTTATAAATTCTAGTAAATAGTGTTGTAAATAAAGTTAAAATGGTCTTTTATCATATCATTGAATCGTTTAATTAAATCAAACTTAATTGAGATTAACATATTTAGAGCACTCATTAAATATTCAATTTAGTCCACAGAATATATGTTAGACTTTATTAAAATAGCGTTTATTAATACAATTTATGCAATTTTAGGATAATTTTAGATTTACTTTTATATGGTAAAAAGTGAATCAACAGTTTGTATTTTTACTTGATTAAAAATATATTTTAATTAATTATAAAAATTATAATTTTTAAGTCACTGAAAACTTTTGATTTAAAAGTGATAAAATAAGTCAATTATACTTATTTAACACATTTAATAAACAATAAACAAAGATTATTAATGATAATTACTATAATTTTTTATTTAATTACTTTCTGTTCATTATATTTTTTAACAGTAACTTTAAAGCAAAAGTTTTGATTGACTGCCAATNATTAATGATAATTACTATAATTTTTTATTTAATTACTTTCTGTTCATTATATTTTTTAACAGTAACTTTAAAGCAAAAGTTTTGATTGACTGCCAATTCATTCAAAATAAAAATTAATTAGAAATTTCGATTTTAATAGATTTGAATAAATTATTTTCCACACAGAGTTGTTCATAAAGATTACATTCACTTTTAAATGTAATGCTTATTATCTCGTTTTGACTATAATTCAAAATCATTAGTGCATTAAATTGTGAATTTTAAACACCAAATATTAGCTATAATATACATGTTTAGCCATAGAATAGTGTGTTATTATAAATAATATTATATTATTAACAACTTATTGAACTGTCTTTTAAACCAATATTATTTTCCGGAATAATGTTGATTAAAATTAATTTATAATAGACTAAAGTTACTGTATTTAAATATTTTTATTGTAAAAATTAATTTCAATAAACACTTATTGCATTAAATCATAATCAAGTGAATCTCTTAACACAAGAATATTGACCCTAATTAGCCATTTAAGGGTTTATTGTAATATTCAAACACACGGTCTCAAAATAATGTTAAAATTTGAATAATTAATTCAAATAACTAACAGTTAATATTATATAACAGTGACTAACAAATCATATTCAAAAACAATAGCTCATTGACTCGCAATGAAAGTGCCGTTTAGTTCTTCAAATCGTGTTTTACTTCAAAATTCCTGTTATAAAGTGATATCACATTTGCTTTTGTTGTTTCAATTTTTAGATTCTTTATTATAAATGTTTTCTTTAATAATAAGTATTACATCATTGATATTGAAGAATAATTACATATCATTAGCATATCATTGCCTAATCATCTAATAATTTAGTGTATAACCAAGTTTTAATTTAATTTTTAATTGCATTCGATAACTGTTGCCGTATTTGTGCTGTCTATACAGAATACCGTATAAAGTTTATGTAAAGTTAATAATAATAATTTACAATTATTGTTACAATTGATAGAAAATTAATAAAATGTTGATTTTGCTAACCTAAAGAAACAATTTATGTTGATTTCTATTATGTATTATTCAATTTACTTTATTTGTAAAATTTAAATTAATTAAATCACTTATTAAATGATTCATGTCTTGGGCTTGTTTTAAGGCCACCAAAAAATATTCATTAGTTATCCTTTTTTAATAGTTGTTTAATAACTGTATTGTGAGACTGTTTAGTAATTCCTCTATTATTGGTTTTATTTAATTAAAAATCTGTAAAATTAAATTCAAAACAGTGTTAACACAAGTATTAATTGCATTGCAATTTATAGACGTATCATATAATAAACATTCAACAATTAAAGTTATATATCATGTGTATTGACATAAGTGTTAATTGAATTTTAAGATTTAATTATTTTCCTCAGATCTGGCGGAAGCCGATTGGCTCAGAGAGGCTGGTCTTCAAGATATTATTCACTCATTAAAAGGTAATTGAATTAAGTTTTATGTTTAATATTTAATATGATGTTAATTTCTTGAAATATTAAAATGTTGAATAAAATTAACAATAGTTAATATGTATTAATAATCATGTAATATTATGCGCAATATAACCATGCTCAATATACAGTATAATATGTGTATATGATGATAATTTATAAATAAATGCAATTAAATCATATGATTTAAAATCGGAAAATTTGCAGAAATTTGAGTTCAAATTCTTATCAAATAATTATTACTGATTTTCATAATATTTGCTCAGATTTTGAGTTTATTGTTAGATTATAAGAGATAATAATATATATTTTTATATAATATTTGTTGTAAAAGTTTATTATAAGTTATAATTGCTTTAAATGTGTAATAAATTATCTGCATTTATTTACATTAAACATAGATTATAATACATTGAAATAATCTAAATTTACTTAAAGACAATTTGGTATTAAATCATAAGAAAAATGTATAAAATTAATGCAAAATATAGTGTTTCGAAGAGATGGTGAAGTTTAGGTGATATTGTAATAAATGACAGCAAT